GCAAAATTAAATGAGCAAAGAAAATAGAGAGGAATTATTATACGGGCTAAAGAAATGTAAAAACCATCTGAAAGTGACATTGAAATGAACAAAGAAAAAGTCGATCCGTCGATCGATGGTAAACAGTGATTAATAATGATATGATTTATCCAAAAAATATCAAGATTTACAGATGCAGAGTGTATAAATAATTAATTGTAAATTTTATCCTTTTTACTTTTTTTTTTGCCGATGAAACTCTCACGAATATTCAAACACAGAACGCCATATCATCTTCATCAAGGGCGTTGTTTTTTATTATTCCATTGTTTACCATAAAACGAATTAAAAATATTGTCATTGTGGCATGTTGATATAGTACAGACAGCAATAAACAATCGGACTGTCGGAACAAAGTGCCATTTTATTTGGTTGAAGGCAAGGTTAAATTAAGAAACTTAGTTTAACCAATAATAAATCATCGTTATTTCAGGTGTATTAGTGGTGGTTTTGATTTATTTCCGCCATATTAAGTGCCAGGTTTTTTTCATTCGGAACTTTTTTTAGCCAAACCGTGGTTTGACGCATTTGGGACAGAGGCGAAAAGTGAAGTTTTTCCCCCGAGGCTTTGACTGTTTCAGTATTTTCACAGTGTCGAGCTATTTTCAATAAAGTCCTGTAATCCGGTGTGATTTCTACTTGGAAATCTTTCAGCTTACAACCCTCCGGCGACACGTTTTCGCTGGATGTTGCATTTACATCACCAATAATCAAACTTTAAATAATAAAACAGCTGTTCATACGCAAACACCGTACACAGACAATTAAAGATGATTTAAAAAATGCATGATAAAATAGATAATTTAGTAAGATAAGATCTATGAAAAATTGATAGTAGAATGTTGTGGAGTAAAAAATAGACTAAATTATAATTAAAATAATGTTATTTTATTTGTGATAATAAAGTAATATAAAATAAAATAACTGCCCAAAAAGAATAGTTCTTATTGAACAGAAAATTCCGACTGTCAGAGGACAATGAAAACATAAATAAAGCAAGAAAAGAACACAACAATTAAAAAAAGTGAAAGAAGGTGAACAAGTTAAAGGACATGAAAGTAAAGTAAAAAAATCTAAAATAAAAAATAAAAAATTTGAAATCAAATTGTGCAAATATTACCTGTGTTGCCATGCATACTTTCAATATTTTACAAGTGCGGTCGATTCAGAGTTTAGCCCAGTAATTAGTTCAACTCTAGACAGGGAAATGCGGAAATGCTAGGTGGAGCATACGAATTTCTTTTAAAATTTGCATTATGCTTAGAAATGGGACACGTCTTCTCTGACCTTACAGTTACATTGAGAGTACCAGGGCAAAAGGGCCACCTCCATCCAGTTTTCTTCCTATACCAGTATCCCAACAGCATTATACAGGGCGTCCTTTTTAGATGGCCCGGTTGAATTTATCTTGAACCAATGACGCTATATCAGGGCCAGTTCAACGTCAAAATTTCAAATACGACCCTATACATCCTGACATATCATTTTAAAGGATTTTATATTCTGAAAAGAATGGTGAAATTGGATTTTAAATTGGTCAAAAAATGACAAAGTTATGGTAAAAAGTTTGAAAAACGCATTTCGTTTGTTTCGTTGTTAATTTCAATTATTCTTCACTAAAGTGAACATTAATTGTCTTTATTGTTTACATTCTGTCATTGTTTGTCAAACTCGCGTTATGAGAGCAATTGTTAATTCCTGGAAGTAAATAAATTTTACAATAGGAGCTATTCGTTACATTCAGTATTTCATTCAAAATGAACCGAAGAGCACATTTTTCCGATCAACGGCGAGTTGATTTGTAATACTGCTGTATTGATGGTTTAAGAAAAAAAAAGAAACTGGCAGCGTTAATTTCGACGAAGAGCTGAATATTTTACTGTATGTTATTGGGACTTCGGGGATCTGATTATGACGTGCGTCTAACGTTCCTTGCACAAATGTCGATTTGGGAGGCTGAATAAAACGTTCTTCCAAACATCCTATGGACTGATGAATCTAAGTTCACCTCGAGAATTTCGAATTCTTGTCATCATCAAACATGTACACAGTATCAAGTTTTGTTGTGGACTTCTCGGAAATAAATTAATTGGGCCTTATTTCTACGAAAATAGTTTAAATGGTGCACAGTTCCTCAATTTTCTAGTGATGTTTTACCAATATTATTAGATGATGTTCCTCTGCAACAACGGTAAAGAATGATTATCCCTTGAAGGATGCCCCGCATGTAAATGAGACGTTATAGACCAGGATAGGTGGAACCTCATAGGCATATGGTTGGCCTCCATTTAAAAAACAGTGTCTACGATTGCCAATAATCCAGCAACCTTAGCTGAAGAACTGCGCCAAAGGATAGAAAATGCTTGTCAATCCATCTCCCCTGACTCTATCGCTCTGAGCACCGGTGAAGATTGGTTAAAAATAACTCTTTCCATCTTTGCGCAAGACAGGCAGTTCGAACATGAAATGTGATTAATAAATAGGAAACCAAATCGTATCCGCCACTTCTTGTGAATAGGCTCTGGTTCAAACAAATTTTAAAGTTAAAATTTTCCGTTTTTTAAATACTTTTATTTCGCCGTTTTACTTGCTCAAATCATTTTACATCATTGCAATAAAAATATAGTAAAATTTATCAATAACCGAAAAATGTCTAAAAGTCATATATTTTTAAGTCATAAAATGTTTATTTCATGAAACTAATAAGAAATTTCTTTGTAACACCTCTAGAGACCTCTAAATATAAAGTTTTGTTTGAATTTAAATTTATCGATTTTTTGATACCTAAAAATTTTCTGATTTGAGAAGTCGTTATTGGAATATCTGATTGAAATAGCTATAACCCAAAAACGTCTAAAAGAATTTTAACACCAAACATACCATTTGAAAGAAGAGGAACGTAGCTTTTTAACGATCTATGCATCATCACAATAGATAAAATATTTCTATAAGAAAATAGGAAAATTATTTGCCAGAAATTAACCTCTATCTTTCGAATGGAAATAATAGTCCGATTTAAATGTTTGAAATACAGTTATAAAATGCACTTAACAATTTCTTTAAGACAAATTATCAATCATGAAATTTGGTTTCCTTGGTTGTGAGAAAAATGATGTTAATGCTTGCACTACGAATGTCAAGCACACAGGTCGTCGAAATTATTGGTCAAAAAATTTATTTATGCCGATTTCCGTAAAAGTCGCTATCTAAGGGATTTATAATTCTAGAATCACGCTGATGAGGTCAAATCCAAGTTTTGACCATTTTGACTGACATTTCTAGTGCAAGCTCAGGACATACTTAAAGTGCTTAAAGCTTCGGTGTAGGCACCATCAACAGGTCCGTGGATGTCATTAAATACAACATAAGCTACAAGTTGAGGAGAGGAGGCCAAAAAGCTTTTTGATGAAAATTTCAGAAATTTCTCAACTACTTTATTCTGTTGATATATTATAACATGACATGCAAAGAACGGCAGATCTAGAGACAGCATTTGACACAACGGAGAGGCAAGGTGTAAGAGTAACGTATTTATTTATAGTGATTTATAATTTCAAGAGGTTAACCCTTGAAAAAAAATTCTAATATTTTTGGTTTCTTTGTAAACTTACTTGATTGTCAGCTACGAACAACACATCATCAGTGTATAATAATGCCTTAATTCTAGTTTTGCTAACTATGTCAGGTGTAAATATGATCTATTAGCAAAATACGTTTATAAAGTTTCATTAAACTACGCTTTAAGTTAAAAAACTTCAAGCCTCAATACAGCATAAAATAGTTAGACTAGTTCTTAAACTATTTTTTTTCGCCTGACCACTGTTCCACAGTTAAAACCGTCCGAAGTTTGACGAACAGATTTGATATATTGACGTTAGTTCGTCGAAAGAAAACTGCAAGAAGAGTTTTCGGAAGGTTATTATGAAAAATGGAACGGAGGCTAGAAAATGTGAGGGCGAGAAAAAAATTGCTTTTCTCCTTTTTTTTCTCCTCCCCTTGCCAACCCCTTACCTCTCGCACCCCCCTTTTTTCCCTTGCATTCCTTCTTCGGGGAAATTGCTCCCGCGTTATTTAGTATTCCTCTAAATTTGTCACGGATTCAGTTCGATGTCGACATCCAGCCATTAATTATTAAATAATCAATGATAACGTTCAGTTTTTTGCGTTTTTAAAGAGAATAGAATTAGTGGCAAAATGAAGTATTCTCATCATCAAATATTTCCATGAAATCCCCGAATTGGAAACCCTTAAAACAATACATATTTAAGTTTATAATTTTTTGTCTTATGATTTTGGAGATTTGCAATTATTATCATCGTTATATGATGCACTGATTATTTCACATATTTGGTTATTTATTTAGCTGCAAGGCAATTGTTATTACGTACTGATTATAACATGAACTACTTTCATACTTACTAAAATGTGAGAAAAAAGGCCTTTATGATTTTTTGTTAATTATGACACTATTTGATAATAAGGTTTCATTTAAAGTCTGCATTATTTTTCCTTTGGTTTATTAATGTATTTTTTTCTTAGATTTTATCTAATATAGGTTTTTTGATCGTAATTTAAATAGTTGATACGTGTTTTCGTAATTGTGCAGCTCTGTCTGAAAGTAGCGAGGGTTGCTGATACCTGTAGCGCCTGTGGATGCAGGAAAGGGAGTGGGGGTTGACCCGGGAAGGTGTACATTCCCAGAATCAGGGTTTAATACTGTAAAATCTATATTCCAGCTCCTGGAGAAGGCGTGCGATTCTGTTTCCTCTCTCGGCCAACATATTTGGGGCGGATACATTTTGTGAGAGCCGGGCCCTGGAAGACAGGAGGTCAACTAGACAGGTAGAGCTGATACACTCGCTGAGAGTGGGATGCTGGATGAGAGAGGGAGGTGGCGTTGGGACGGGGCAGAGCAAGAAGAGTTAGATCAATAGCTTGCCAGTCAGTTTGCAGAGGCGCAATCGGTAGGGACCCCTAGAGGTTGAGAGAGGGAGACAGATTCAGAGCGCGGGGTCCGATAGCGCGCGAGTGTGTGAGTGTGTGCGTGAGTGAGGATAGTGGAGAAGATACTCTTCAACTAGCCGAAACAACTGAAAAAATACGAGTCTCGTACGTCGAGCCGAAAAATACAAAGGCAGCTCGTAAAACCTATGATAAAAACTTGAAAAAAATGATTGGGACAGGTTATATCAAGTCGAGGAGAAAACAAAGCCTGTTAAGGACAATTAATTCTTAAATTCTTGAATCAATTGAATTTGTTTTTCCCGTTCAATTGTTTGGCTTCTTGAGATTATGCCCTTTGTGGCGAGGTACAGACTCCATCTTCATCCATCGAGACATCAAATACTCGCATGTTAACACTTGTTCCGATCCGTGTCAAAACTCCAAAAATGTCAGGCCTATTTAACATGGCTCAGGGTAAACTGAGTCGATTTTTCAACTACAAGGTACGTTAAATATATACACAATTAAATACTCTATAGTTATACAAATTAGGAAATTGTAGCTATAGTCTGTATTGAATTTACAAAATTTTATACGTCAAATTAATTACAACTGTCACGTGATCGATCCATCTAATAAATCTTATGAAAAACGACACTAATCTGTGTGCGTTTTTATATTAAAAAATAAACATCAGACCTCAAAAAAAAATTTAAATCTTAACCCAATATGGATTTGATCATTGTTGACAATTATCCTTTTAAAAACACTCATGAACGAGAGGTGTGATTTTGCTAGGATTTTCGACCATGGGTATTGATTTCGTTCTCCCAATCAGATGAAAAAGGCTGCAAAAATGCTTCTCTAATGTTCAGGCAACTCTGCTGATTTGTGGATTACAATCAATTTTCTGAAATAAAGTTTAATGGTGAAATGTTGGGAAAAAAGATTTGCGACTTTCTCAATAGAAAATTTTTCTAATTTCATAAAGAATGTGTAATCAAATTGTATTTTTTTGTTTTCTTGATAAAAGTTTGAAACCTTTTGTTTTATATTCATAGTTTTTACAATTGAAGAAACTAATAGTTTTAAGGGAGCAGTATTCAATTTATACTTCTCCTTTATAACAGTGTTTACGTCTTTCTTCTTTTAACTTCATATTTACGCCAATGACTGCGATAAATAAAGTCCTAAGTGATAGATGCTGAATCTTTTTTTTTTTTATTAAAGAAAAGAAAGAGTGATTCAGTATGTCATAAACTAGCATCAATTTCTATTGTAAAACACTTAAAGGGGTATAACAATCTGATGAATGTGCTGAACCAGATTACATTTTATGCCGAAGGAATTTGTAAAATGAATTAGTTGCGCTTTCGTTAACCGCCTTGCCTTTTAGAAATAATATCTCTAAGTGCCTACTGAAATATGTGTATTTCATTAAGTTTTAATTACTGACAATTTTTAGACTATGCATTTTTGATATTTAATGGAAAATTTACAAACATGAAATCTGATTGTATCTGGCAAGAACTATAAAAGTTTGACGTTATCGAATTCTTACATTAAAACTTCCATTCGATATTTTATTTGAAAATTATACTCCAACCAGCATGAAAGTTTTACAAAAATTTTGAATCAATAAGTACACAACATTATGATATATAATCGTAACTATTATCAATATTCTGCCTCATTTATGAAATAAAACTCTTAAGCAAGACAAATACCCACACGTAAAATGAAGCATTATTTATTTAATGTAATATTAATAAAATAATTTAATATATTTCTGATCGTTATTTACATTTTTATGGTGTGTAAAATGTAAGGGTTGGAATGAAGATATCTGAGCGCGATGTGCTGAAAGCAATCTTCAATTTGCTGATAGGCGTCGGTAAAGTTTTATAAGCGCCGTCTGCTGGGTGACTGGAATTACAAATTTGCCCAGGAAATTAGTCTTTGAAATGTAAGGAGGTGTGTGGAACGACGTATACCACGTGGTGACCTCCTGACCCACTTTGCACCGAAAAGACCAGGAGCTGGTCAAATTTGAAAAACACTCTTAGAGGGTTTCTAACCGTAATGTAAATGAATTTCGAACCGACAATTTAATGGTGGGTCGGTTTTTGAGAAACAATGAAGGAGAAACGGTAAAGATTTTATACTGACCACTCCCTTTAATGAAAACTTCCTTTCGCATTATGATGTAGCAATAAATATCATTTCATATTTACCATGTCTTTTATTTTTAACATATTACATTGGGATAATGTATTACAAAGAAAAAATGTTTAAAATATAGTTTTTTAACAAATGTACATGTTTTAAAGGATTTTAAAGAAAAACACCTATATACTTACATAAGTAAATACTTTTTTTATGTTCTTAAATCTTAATAATACCTAGGCTCTTTTAATCAAGATAGAAAAAAAAGAATGAAAGAAAAAGTCAATACATCAAAAATATATTAAGTAATTATTCAGAAATCGTGAGATGCGGTCTGGTGTGATGTAGGTTTCACAAAAACATTTTCTTTATCGTGCCAACGTTTCGATCTTTATTGAGATCATCTTCAGGGCTCAAAGTGTTTGTCTTCTGTGTAATTGTGCCATTCTTTCGTGTCGTGTTAAGAGTGCCCAATATATTAAGTACCGATTATGGAAGTAAAAATTTTAAAAAAATAAGAAAACTAAAAACGAATTTGAGAGAGAGAGAGAGACAGAGAGAGGGAGAGAGGAGATACAGAGTGAGAGAGGAGAGGGGAGAGAGATAGATAGAGAGAGAGAGAGAGAGACAGACAGAGAGAGAGACAGAGAGGAGATACAGAGTGAGAGAGAGAGAGAGAGAGACAGGAGATACAGAGAGAGAGACAGAGAGGAGATACAGAGTGAGAGAGGAGAGAGAGAGAGAGAGAGGAGATACAGAGAGAGAGAGAGAGTGAGAGAGAGAGACAGACAGACAGACAGAGAGGAGATACAGAGTGACGAGAGAGAGAGAGAGAGAGAGAGAGAGAGAGAGAGAGAGAGAGAGAGAGGAGATACAGAGGAGAGAGAGAGACAGAGAGGAGATACAGAGTGACAGAGGAGAGAGTGAGACAGAGAGAGAGAGAGAGAGAGAGAGAGGTGAGAGAGAGGGAGAGAGAGAGAGAATGAGAGAGAGGTGAATTTAATTTTTTTCAATTTACAGAGAGAGAGGGAATGCGAGAGAGAGAGAGAGAGAGAGAGGGAGAGAGAGAGAGAGAATTAGTGAAGGGTAGAGGATAGATCGTAGAGCCCATCGATGACTGGAATGTTCGCCGGCCTCATACATCGTCCGTTATCTAATCAACTTTGTATAGGCACATATTCGACATACAGTCGGTTGTTGTTTTATTATTTTTTTAATCTTCACAATTTCCCCGGAGGAGTGTTCGATGGAAGCAACACCACGTCCCATTTGCCGGCCGTAAAAGTAAAACTCAATTAGGATCTGTGTTTGTTACAAGAAACTTCTATCATTTCAAAAGTATTTCGAGTTTCTCATAATGTTACCAGTTGTCTCCACATTGAGCAGAAATAATATATATAAACCTTTCGACGACCCGTTGGCGGAATGTAATCATTAGCAATCTGTATCTATCTAACTATATATATATAATATTTAGATAAAGCACTAGTGTGAGATTGAAATATGGATATATATTATTGTATTTATATACATATCTATCTATGTATCTATCCATCATTCTATTTCCATATTTTAATATCAATCTATATATCTCAATTTCTTAATATTTACATACCGCCATCATTCAAGCTCTATCTATTTACATGTATCTGCTTTTATCTCTATCTATCTATACGTAATAATCACTGTATATCTATTACAACTCTTTTTTTCTATCTAATCACTATTATCTATTTATTTATAACATATATTATTTATATGACCATCCACCTATTAGCTCATCTATCTATCTATATGTTTTAATCTCAATCTACAAACTCCATTTCTCACTGTCTATCTATCAATCTCTATCTATGAACATGCCTCTATCAATTTATCACCTTCTCATAATCACTGTTTTTCTATGCACCTCTAAATCTTTTTATAAATCACCAGCTTCCAAACTATATTTATATCTTTCTATCTCCTTGATTTAATCGCAATATATACATATCTCTATCTTGTAATACGTATAATGTAATATGTATAATGTACATATTTATTTATCTAGCTCGAATTAATGATCTCTAAGTTAGATTATGAGGATTAGAGTATGGCAGTATGAAGAAAGTCCGCGAATCGGAGAATTGTATTAGATGGCAGAGGGAATATGTCTAAGTAAACTTTGAATCATCATCAATTCACTATAAATCTATCAAACTTTAACACTTAACGTTATTAAATAATAACTATGTACCTGTAAGCTGTCAAAGAATCTGTGATATGTACATATGACTATAACATTAATTAAAATTTCTCTGAAGACCCTGAAGAAGACCAAATATATCGTCGAAAACCCGGCATTAGCATAAATGCATTAGGTATTTGTTTTTCTGATCACAACTTTAATTCAAGTAATTATCATCATTTATCAACCTCCATATATCTCTTTCTATTGAATTATCTATCTATCAGTCTCAATTTATGTATAAATATCTCCATACCTCTCTACTTACCTATCTACATCTAATAATCACTATCTATCAATCAACAAGTCTTTTTTCATTTTTTTACAATCTATTTATCACTATCTATGTTTATCCCCCAATCACTCTACTTTTTATCTCTTTACCTTTCTTTCTCTATGTATCTGTAACTCTACCTAATTATTTTAGTTATATTAGAAAAACACAACTGTTTGTGGATGTATGTGTAAGCAAGAAAAGTTGAATGGGAGAGGGAGAGAGAGAGAGAGAGAGAGAGAGAGAGAGAGAGAAAGTACGAATGAATGAATGTTTTATTTAATAAATCTCGCAAACTTAGACAGCAAACGACTTCTGTTACAATTGTTGAGAAAAAAGATAGAAAGAGAAAGAGAGAGAGAAAGAGAGAGAGAAAGAGTGAGAGAGAGAGAGAGAGATGGTGAGAGAGAAAGAAAGCAGTAGGGCGTTTGTCTGTGTGTATGGGTTTTACTGAAAATTATTCATATTATTAAACGTATGTGAAACATTTAACCAATAAAAAAATATAGTTACTTAAAAAATAAAAAACACGACAGTTCATATTCTAAGTGTTACAAAGCGTTACGGGCTTTGGATGCCCCTTTCTGAAATAATATCGTGGCTTTGAATAATTCCGTGTTTTTAGTCTCTACTCCAAGTAAGCTGTTAAAATCACTCCCACGGGAACATTCAACCTGACACTAAGTTATTCTCGTCGTAAATTCAGTCATATCTCAAGCTTTTTGGTTACTTTTTAAATTGCAGGTTAAAAATCTTTGCAACAATCATGCAGGCCACTGTTTTATATTTTTACATAAAGCAGATCGATTTTATCTTACTATAGATTCAATTCAAGA